TTTTGGTGGGTACCCCTTTCCTTTCACTTAATTACAGTGAGTTTCAACAAAATGTTAAGAAAATGTTAGAAAATGTTAAAAATTTGTACGTAATTGCACATTACTGTAGTGTTAGCTACAACACCGATTCGTCTGACGACAATCTTAATCTTTTTTTAGCAGAAAAAATATCAAAACTTTTTATGGTGGGGTTTTGGCAATCATTTATATATCTAGAAGCCACTGATGAGTATCTTTAATTACGACATATACTTTATGCTGGCAAAAGAAATATAATTCTGATTAGGGACTTGCGGAAGGTGCTAATATGGTAATTTTGTTACCTACGGGAGCTGGGAAAACGCTTTTTGCAGAGATAGCTTCGTCGTTGTTTATCTATTTACTTTCTTTTACTGTAACTATCTAACTTAACGCTTGGAATTACTCTTGAAGTAGGCCTATATTATCTAAACAGTATTATTTCCAGTACTTTGGGATTCAGTTACAGTTCTACTGACTAGCTTTGCATTTTCGTAAATCATGTTTACCAATTAATAGCTCAATTACTGTATTGAAATAACAAGTAAATTTTACGAATTTACGGAATTATAGCTGTGAAAATTTGTTAAATTTACGTGATGGAATAGATGTTTTTAATGAAATATAATGTTTCGAATAAAACTGAAAACAGCAAACGAAACAGCAGCAGGGTACGTTGGATACATATCGTCAAACTGGTCGTACAGCTTTTTTGAAGGTGTCTCCAGAATTTCACAAATAGCATGGTTTAGCACTAGGAGTAAGATGGTGATAAGGTGGCAGTCACTTTATATTCTCGTTGACTTTTCGAAACCAGTGATTGGAAGAGGATAGATACTTTATCTTGTCGTTTGCCAGCTTTTCAGGCTGTAGCTTAAATGAAAACGCTATTAAAGCGCCGATTCTGTATTCTCTTCAATTTTCCTGATATATTCAAATGTCACCTTACTAGCTTTAGCTTTTTTCTTTTCGTAAAGTTAAGTATTTGTCACTTATTTTATTTTTATTGTTGCTCTAAATGATTCCTGATTTTTATTGAAGAAAAGGTAAATCTTTTCTCTCTACTTTGTTATTTTTGTTCCGCTAATCTAGGCACTAGCGACTCCCACTACGAAAAAAATTTCTATTAATTTAATTTCAAAAACTACAGTGCTTTTGAAAGGATTTGTAGCTTTTTTTGGTAAGCTCTATTATGGTTGTCTATCCCTACCGGATCTGATAGCAGGAGAAGGTGCAACCAATTTTTAAACACTGCAGGATATATGATGCTTACTTTTCGTTTTTGCACGGTGGCAGATTATTTCACATCAAGCTACACAAGTTATTCAGTCGACTTTTCAGACTTTTTTAATTTTGACGAGTGATGAAGCCTGATCCAGAACAAAAGGAATGAACAAGTTATTTTTAGAAAGTCATTTTCTCTTCGGAATTGCAAGTGTTTATGCATGGCTAAGGTGTCGTTTGGTTGTTTCTTCTTGGGGAAACGTTAGCTGTTTTAGCTGTT